CGGGATAGCCAATGAAAATGCAACAGTGTGAACAAGAGCTGAATTTATCATGTGGTTTGGGGCAAATTATTGCATAACATAAACAGCCAAAACCCCCTCAAACATTCAAAATCAAGTGGAATACCATGTAACAATTCATGTGGGGTTCGACCTCCAAGACCCTTAGATGGGGTTCGATTTATAAAATAGATGGCTGCCAAGACACTTTTTTCCCAAAGCTCAACCGACAGGTTTGCCTGAAACAACAACGCACAAGATACATTAAGTGTGTGTCTATATTTTTGTTACACCTTTCTGTTCTGTTCTAGCTTATGAACATAGGATGTTTGACTTAAAATGCCCATATTTGTGCACAATTTGGTTAAATTATTAATTTTGAACTCTGCGCCATTATCATACCGGATCACCTTAACTATTTTCTGAAATTGAGTCTGAATCATGAGAATAAGTTTTCACAACCTAGAAAAGGTTTCACTTTTATCTGCAAGCATATATACCCAAATAGCTTTACTGTAGTCATCGACAATTGTCAAAAAATAATGAGTGGAAGAATAAGATTAAGTTTTATAAGGACACCATGTGTCACAGTGATTAAGATATAAACATGCTTTACTATTACTAAAACTCAAAGGAAACATACTACAAACTTGTTTGGCTTGACAACAAATATCACACGCCTTATTTTGATTTTTTTTATTCAAACTACTAGAAAAAGAAAACAGAGAAACAACTTTATGTGATGCATGTCCCAATCTTCTATGCCATACTTTTGCGATTTCTCTAGTATGAACAACAGCAACAGATGGTTGTGCAAAGTGAAACACATAGACCCCTGCTCGGTTGTCAAATAGTCCAATCATTTGGCTCAACATATGGTCCTGCAATACACAACCCTTGTAAGAAAATATCATATTGTTAGGGGTGTTCATCAACCGATCCAAATCGATTCAAACCGCGGTAATCAAACCGAATTAACTGAAAACCGAAAAACCGAAAACCAAAAAAAAAACCGCAAAATTTAATTGGATTGGATCGATTTTTGGATTGGTTGGTGAAAATTGATCCAATCCAAACCGTTCCAATGATTCCACAACCTTACCATCTACCTACATGGACCTTTCCCCAATCATAGCGCAAAAACCATATAGCAAAATTCTAAATCCAAAACTCATTAACCCATCATGTTGGAGAAAGTGGATTGTGCTTGATCTATGTTATGCTTCTTCTTTTTTTGGTAAAATACATAATATATTTTTATTACATGGTTATTGTTGTACAACAACTGCTCTATAAGATGAAAATTTGGTTATTTCGTATCTCAGGTAACAATATTATAAATTTTTTGTTGAAGGTAAAAGATGGTAATTCAACTTTTTGTTGTACAATGCTTCTAGATTGCACAATAATTATCATACAAACTTTACAAAGTCAATACATACAAAAGATATGTTATTTGCACAATAATCATCATACAAATCTTAGGCTATTCAAAAAACCAAAAATCGATCTAATCCAAATCGAATAAAATTGGATTGGATCGGATCGAGTTTGAAAAAAAAATCCAAACCGAATGGATGATTACATGATTAAATCGAAGGGATTAGATCGGATATTTTTGCTTCCAAAATCGATCCAATCCAGACCGTGAACACCCCTACATATTGTTATTTGTTCCTTTTAATAATTAGGACACATAAATCAAATTGCACCGCAACTGTGGCACATATAACACATCATGCAAAATAAAAGACGAATCAAGAACCACATTCCCACGTTACTCTCATAGAACCATAATACCATTGGGCAAACTAACAGGAAAAGGTGATATAGCCATCATGTTTTGCATCAAATCTTTCTAACCTGTCATGTGTTGTGAAGCTCCACTGTCTACAAGCCATTGAAAATTAACAGACTTACCCTCGAGTTTGTCATTTGATTAAGGTGGATTAACTAAAGCAACCAACTTTGTAACAAGATCAGGTGTGAGCATAGTATAGGCACCAGTTTGCTGATGTTTTCCCATGGTTTGAACATAGTACAGACTTACCCTCGAGTTTGTCATTTGATTAAGGTGGATTACCACTTGTTTGTACAACTTGAGCCTATTCGTAGATGGAATAGCCCCCTTATGAATGACCTATGCCCTTTCTATAGCTGCCTCCTCTGTTAGAAGGATATCTAATGATTGTCCAACATCTAGAAGGATCATGATTAGTCTTCCCACAATGAGGACATGAGATTCGTTCACGATCTGCTTGTTGTTGTGGTACCATCCTCCGATTGTTTCTTGCCTGAGAAGTTTTATTAGTCTGAACAACATAGCTAACCACATCAGCTTTCTCATCCTTCTTCCTGGATATATCCTGATGTGTCTCCTCCTAAACCACGACTTTACAGGCTTGATTTAAATTGGGAAAGGTTGGGCAATTGAGAATCTGAGTCCTCAACGTACCAAATTAATTATCATCCAACCCCACAAGGAATTGGTAAACCTTTTCTTTTTCAACTTCATCACCATTCTAAGTTCCCACGGCACATTTGGCTCCACACACATAAGAAGTTTGGTTTTTACTTGCATCTATCTCATCCCAATTAGCCCTCAGACGTGTGTAGTAGGTGCTAATATTAATTCCATCTTGCCTGATATTAGCAAGATTGGGGCGGAGTTGATATAGCTGTGGTATATTCGCAACTGAATAGCGCTCTTTCAAGCCTTCCAAAGTTCCTTTGTCGTGTCGAGATACTGAATATAAGGTTGCAACTGCGGATCAATTGTATTGTGAATCCAGCTATTAAGCATCAAATTACATTGTGTCCAAGCAAAAGACTCATTGGCCTCACTTTCTTAAGGTTCTTTTACATCACCACTAATAAATCCAAGTTTGTTCTTGGCTTTGAGGGCGTTTTTCATGGCCTTAGCCCACACATCATAATTTGTTTCTCCCTTCACCACCATGTTGGTCAACAGAACACTTAGTCCTTTTGCATTGCTCAAATAGTAGGGTGATCGCTGGTTAAAAATTGCCAGCTTCTTTGCAGTACTAGTGGTTCCTTGCTTTGCGGTAGAGGTGTTCATCAACCGATTCAAACCGTGGTGACCGAACCAAAAAACTGATAATCGAATAAATCAAAAACCAAAAAATCGAAAAAAAAATTGCAAATTTTAATTGGATTGGATCGATTTTTAGATTGGTTGATGAAAACCGATCTAATCCAAACCGATCCAATATATTAATTCCCTTCTACCTACTTGGGCATTTCTCCAATCATAGCCCAAAAATTTCTAAACCCAAGACCCATTAACCCATCAACTAAACCCAAGAAAAAATCTAGTCACATCTCATCAACAAAATTTCATCTGTGTAGAGCTTCATATCTTATTGCCCCAAAGAAAAAAATTATATTATCGTCTACTTATGCTTTTGTATTTAAAAAAAAAATTATAAAGCCAATATATACAAAAGATGTTATTTGCACAATAATCATGAAACAAATTTTAGGATTTTAAAAAAACCGAAAAACCGATCCAATCCAACTGAAAAAAATTGGATTTGATCGTATCGGATTTGAAAAAAAATCCAAACCGAAGGGATTGAATCGGATGATTTTTGCTTCCAAAACCGATCCAATCCAAACCGCGAACACCTCTACTTTGCGGTTTGCGTCGGACATGGCTTCGCTCCTCACTTAGAGTAGTTAGCAGAAGTCTTGCTCTGATACCAAGATAAAAGTTAGTATCAACACTCTTGCTCATTTCATTAAAATGTTGCCCATAAATAGGCTCACAATTATAAATTATAAATAAATTTGAATTGACGACAACATGTAATCAACTTATAATATTACAACTTCTAACAAAATGCAATCAGCTCCTATTACATTAAATTCAAAATTCAAAATGCACAAATTCTAACTGCTCTAGATATATTAAATTCTAAATCAAAACGTAATACTCTAAATTAAATTCAAAATTCACAAATCCTATCTGCTTTAAATTATATTAAATTCGAAATTAAAATGGAATACTCTAAATTAAATTCAAAATTCAAAATATGTAAAATAACGCATCATATTATAAAATAAAATAACAAATCATTCTCAAGAGAATATACTCAAATTTAATATATAAAATAAAAATATTAATATTTAATGGATAAATTGAAAAAAAAAAAAGAACTGCTTAATCTTAAATCCAATATTATTTAGATCTATTTCTAATGCATGACACTTTCATTACGCTTTTATCATCTTTAAGTCAATTGTGATATATCATTTGTATTTTATTATTTCATACAAAATAAACCAATTAAGTAATGCGAATAACATAAACAAAGTGAACCAACCAAGTAATATCGACCAATAAATCACAATTTGTATTCGTCTATATTATCAGAGAAAAATTATCTTAGTCCAAATGGTCTTAAGTCAAACTAAATCTTTTTGATAATAATTAAAGAAAAATATTTTTGCATTTATTCCTAAAACAACGATGTTTTGGAATTGAAAGATTAATTATAATTATAAAGACTATAACAACCCTGAAATAAATTAAAATTACAAAACATTATGATTTCTACTCTAAAATGACGTCGTATTGACTCACAGCAGATAACTTATCAGCAGTGACGGCAGAAAAAACAAATCCAATAATTAATTCAAAAATCAAATTTCAGTCAAGACTCTGCCTGTACTTTAACCTATTACATGTTCCCTGCACTTATATAAAATGAAAGCAAGTCATAATCATTAAATATCCAATCATGTGTTTTTTTTAAAAAAAAATCTCTTCCGTGTTCTTCACCAGAACGTTGTGTATCCAAAAAAAGTGTTATGGGTTCAGAATGGTTCCAATTTTTCTAGGACTTATATCATAGTAGCTCAATTTTTAGACTAAAAATCTCAATATTCCAGGGTTCTGCTGCTTATGACTGCCGAACACATGCAGGAAGAGTAAAAACTAATATGCATCTAAGTATGTCATACACATGACATTAGTTTTATTATACGCATACAACTAAATAAAAAATATGTTGGGTACTGAGACTGAACAGTGCTATAGGTTAACCATAGGACTTTAGGGAAGTCCAAGTTATGTTTGCCAGATTCCTGAGTGGACCATTTCTCTCCTACGAACTCATGAAACGCTTCTACTAACCACCCAGGGAAGAACATTGTCAAGGGCTATGCTGGAACCCAACAGGAGGAAGCATAAATAATTCGGCCCTTCCAACCTTGCAGCATGCAGTTGCCATCTTCATCTAGCATGAAATCACTGTGGTACACTTCTCTCAACTTGCATCTTAATTTGTTAATGCGATGTTGATCCAAAGGAAGTTGCCTAAACCCAGCCCTCATGTTCCGACCTTGCCATTGCTTGTATGTCTCGGGCCTCTCAACTCTCTTAGAACCCTCACAAGCTATAATATTCATTACCTCTCTCCCAAAGAACACCTCCTCAAACATCAACCTCATGGGATCTTCACGAGCAACATTGGTGTCAAGCACATCAAACAATGAAAAGTAATGAAAAAGAGCCTCCCGGAACCGTGTCACAAAGAATGGGACATTATAGCTCCCATTGACAATAGTATGTATAAAGATAGTGGGATTTGCCTTCCTAATTAAATTTAAAACAGTATCCTTGGGGCTATTCCACACAACTGTCTCATCAAGTAGATTCTTAAATCGAACCAAACAATTCACTGCAACAAATTCATTTTTCTTTATCTTCAAGTCCTCAATTCTGATGGTTTCCCATTTCTGTGCAATAGCATTGAACTCAAATGGAACATTAAATCGATCACAATACCTTGCCAAGCGAAGGCCTGTCTCTTGGACTCTCTCTGCTGGCCTGAAACCAGGTTGAGGGAGCTCTATCCCTGTCATGCGCAGCTTGGGAGGTCCACCAGGTCGTTTTGAGAGATGATAAATAAGTGAAGGCCACTGGAAGCCATAAAGGATGCCAAAATCTACAATATGAAGAGTTTCCACTTCCTTGGCAAGTTTCAAAATTGTAAGGTTTGCAAAAATAAGTGCAAGCTTCTGGAATGGGCAGGCTGAAATATACATTTGGTAAGCTTTGGCCATGTCTGCAGCAGAGGTTCTTTTGGAGGATAAAGCAGTATAAATCTGAGTGCCAGTGCCAGCCAAGCGTGCTTCAAGAGCATTTGCAAAGCAATGGGCCAGCCTCTGAGACCCATCACCCAGCGGGGAAGAATGTTGCCTTATCTGCTTCAATAACTCATTAGCAGTTGCACGATCATTAAAAGAAACAGCTTGTGCACATACAATCAATAGTGTCCTCAGATCCACAACTCCCTTCTTATTATTGTCTTGTTTCTTAACATGGCTCTTTCCACTACAAGACTTGTTGTTTTCTTCTTTCTGCTGCTTGCTCATGCTTGGTCCATTCGGCTGGTCTTTTTTACAATTACTCAGAGGAGCTGCCTCATTTCCCCACCTCTGGGGTAGCAGTACCTTATCAAATAATTCTGATAACTCATTGTCATCCATGCAAACAGCTGAGTGCTTGTTGCTTCTCCCATCTTGTAAATCTGTTTCATCCTCCCGCTCATGATTCTTCCTTCCTCTTGACTCAGCCGAGAAATGCTCCCATTTATCTCTCCCCGTCTCAATTACAACCTGCCGAGGAGACTTTCTAAAAGAATGGCTAAAAGTGCTGTTCTCCAGGTCAATAACCAATGGATTCCTTTTAGGCAGAAACTTACTGACTTCCTCCACACCTTTCTCAAATTGCAGTATAGACTCACTCTTGTTAAGCAAGTTTGAATCTAAAAATCCAGCCCTGGGACTTTCCAAGAATCCAATATTGTTTACAATGAAGCTACTAGTGCTATTCATAGAAGATTGCGTACAATAGGTTGAACTCGCCTGGAAAACAAAGTCAGCAGGAAAATTGGTTTGAAGGAAAGAATGCTTGTACTCAGTAAGATCCATGTTACTCCAATGGGACTCAACCGCGTTGCTAGTACTAGTGGTATTGCAACTGCTAAAATCGATGAAGTTACTATAGAGACTGTCATCAGGGCTCTCCACTTTGTGATAGTTTTGGATGGAAGAAGAAGGGTATGCCTCACCAATGACCTCATAGAATGATTTCTCAGCGGCTTGAAGAGCCAAAGAATCATGAAACATGCAGGGCTTCTCCTCCAGGTCCTCTTCCATAAGCATTTGGTTTATGTAGCGTAGGACGGTAGCAGAGAAATCAGTCTCATCCAAGGGATCAGAGTCTTCTTCCGTAGTAATGGTGGAGAGGGAATCAGGAATTTGAGCATCGTTTGGATCAGGTGGAAGACGAAACCGGTTATCCATGAATCCAGAGTGGATGGATCTCATCCCATTTACAGGGTCAAGGCACTGATCCCCTACATTGAGCATAATAGGCACTTGGTTGACTTTAAATCCGTTGACGAAATTGAACTTGAAATGAGGATCCATCAAGAAATAAAATCTGAAGGAATTCACCTCTTCTATCAATCAATATTATAAATTAAAAAGGACAAAGAAAGAAAGAAATTTGTTTACTATTATGATACCCCAAGAAATGAGAACAACATAATTAACAGAGTTCTATAGTGAGGTGATTATAGATACTACACACTGGAAAACGAAACGTGGAAGAGGCAGAAGCAGTAACACAAGAAAAACTAGGATTTATTTATCTGTAAACAGTTCCACTTAACTTGGGGGAACTGTTTATGTTAAACTAGCTTGGGGGAACTTTAGAAACCCTAAGAATCAGTTAATTGAGGATAATTTATGTATGAAGGGGGAAACCGTGAGTTTCCATTCCTGAAGGAAATAAAGAAGAAACATGAAGATCCAGGGATGCGCATAATAGCAACAGCAGAAAAAAGAAAGAAAGAAAAAATGTCGTTCATTTAAATAATTATGGGAAAAATTCAATAACAGAAGACAATAGAGAGTGGAATGGAACCTTTGAGAAATGAGTTTTTCTTTCTTTAATTGCGTTGTCTAATGTCTAGTTGGTGGCGAAAACACAGAGTCATATGGTCAGAGTCGTAAGTAGGACAGAACATAGGAACTGTCCCATCTTCAACTTCGTTCGAACTTCAACTGAGTCGGCTGCACCTGCGAATGCATATGTCAGCTAAGGTAACCAACGATATCAGCCAGAGTTTCTCAGTTAGTGCTTCCGAACAAGAAAAAGTTCCTTCTTATTATACAAAATAAACTATCTCAATTCTAAATTATACATGGAAAATCATTATCTCCTTCTACATGAGATAAGAACTTTTTCTTACACAAATTCGTTTTTTGTGCCAATTAATTTTTCTTTTCTTTTTTAATTTAAAATGTAGAACCCACATTTAACTTATCTCTACTTTTTTTCTCTCCTACTATCCTACTACATAAGAAAATATGCACCCATTATACATATGATATCACCGTGTGTATTTAACAGCATATATCGTTGGCACATTGACCATGTTGCGACGGCAGTTTTTTAATTCAAAAGCTTAAATATTATATGTAAATATTTTTTAATATATCTTAAACTTTGGTTTATCTTATACTTTACTTAATTTTACGGTAGAACGAAGTGGTGAGAATCGAACTCGTAATCTCGTGATCAGTATATCTCTAATATCATCTAAAGAATTAATTCAACCTAAAAATTTAAGTTATTAGATAAAAAAAAAATTTAATAATTTATATTATTCTCTAATACATCAATTTTAAAAATATGAATAGAAATGCCGTGGGGTCAAAAAGTTTGCTAAAATATCACAATGGCAAACCTGTGATAAGTGAAAGCGGAATTCAAATGTCATTTGGCACGAAACCTTATGCCACCAAATATGCTATTAATATGATATGGTCAAACGCGGAAGAATGCTCTTTGCTTCAAATACACATGTCAAGCAATCTCAAACTTGATGACACGTTGCTTCAGATTTTAATGTGATTTTTATTTTATTTCAAGTAACTTTCCGAGATTTACGAATCAGATTTGGTAAAAAAAAATGCTTCCTAATAGCTCCTTGAAAGTTTGGATCCATCTTCCTCTCTTTTTTCATAAACAATCACCCAAACCCAAACCGCTTCTTCTATGCACAAAGAAAAAAATTATACAACACAAATAATAAATTAATATGATATGGTTCTATAAAGGATTTGAATTGAACTTACTATGGAATTATTGCAAGTTTCAAGGCAAGAGTTCCATAGAAGTCCAGAAAGAAACAAAGAAAAATGAAGAATGAAGGTAAGAGATGGTAAGATTTTGTTACTGTTATAGAGCAGGCCCTTTGACTAATAGTATATTAATGATACAATATGATGCAACCCCGGGAATCTTCGAATAAGGAACCTGCTGGTCAAAATTTTGAGAAGGCATGTTTGTATGATGTATCCAACTTATGAACACTATGATACGATATAAAAATGTCCTACAAGGAGCGCGTAACTTTCAAAAATTATAATTTATTCTACTTTAAAAAGACAGATATTTAAGTATAATGTGATCCTTTTTAAATATAAGATGTTCATTAATTATTTAAGTTTTTGAAAATGGATTCATGAATAGAGTTGGAGTTTATTTTAAGGAATTAATGTTTCTCCTGGTTATTTGAAGTTAAGGATAACTGCAAAATTTTAGTTCGGCAACGTCACCACACCGTACATTTGACGTTAGATGATGAAACGCTTTTATTCATTTGAAAGCTAAATTTATTTTAAATGAGTTTTTTTGCAATTTTTTTAATGTTTTTTTTTTCTATTTGTTTTCTCTTTCTCTCTAATTCATGAATATTTCATGATACTTATTACATAAAATTTAAATATAAAAATTACTTATTCATTTTACGATTTGATCGGTCCAGTACAATATGGGCTGATCAATATGTATAGGGACTAATCACAAACGGTTGAAGAATGAAGGCTTTAAGTTGGGTAATATGTTTCTTGGGCTGGAGATGGCTGCTATGTGGTGAATTGATGTTGATCTCTCTTGGCGCAATGACTCTGGCTGAGGCTACCTGCAATGACACTCTGCGACGCTCAAGTCAGTATCAAAGCAAGACTTAGGTTATATTCTTACTGGAATTATATTATTGTACGCTGCCTTTGGTAGGCAGTATGTCTTCTGATTGGCCGCTTATGGGCTGCAGGTTTATATGTTCTCAGCTGATGCCTTTCTGGCTATGTATCTATATGTCAGGCTGCCATCTTAGGACGGTGGCTAGCTAGAGCTGTCTTTAATGCATTGACTTATGGCACAATGAATCTTTGTCAATTTATAGAGTCCTTCCTTAGCTTTCAAGTCATATAAGGTCGATTTGTGCACAATGAAGCCATTGCGCCTTCTGGTCCTTTGCGCGATGGTGATACTGCGCGTTTCATGGGCCTTGTATGTTCTTGGCCTTTTCCTTGGTTTTTAACCCTCTGTGTGATTATTGTAATTTATCCGGATCACGATTAATGAATATGCTATGTTTTTTGAATTCAAAGAGATTAAAAATTCAATAAAAATTGATTATTAAATTAAATTTGTATCATAATTGATTATAAATAACTTAAATTTACTATTATATAGTAAAATAACACATGGACTATGTGATCATACATATTTAGCGCATTGTTTTCTATAGCATTTGCGGTTTGACGCGACATATAGAGGCCACTTTTAAGGAAGGGACTCATCAAAAGGCCAAGCATATTCGAGTGGAAATACATATGAAGTGGCACCCCAAGACAAGAGATGGGTGATGATTAACATCGATGGCGCACGCAGCCCAGAGGCTCTCCTGGCCGGTTGCATGTGTAGCCGTGTAGGTATCTGCCATTATTCGCAAGACATTTGGCTAGGAGTGTTTTTTGTTTTTTTGTTTTTGTTACATTGCTAGGAGGTGGAAAAAAATTAATTTATTACTTTTTTAATACAAAATTACGAATAAGTAGTTGTTTTGCAAAAAATTACAAATCTATAGCACTCAAACACGCGTCCACATGGGGCGTGTTCTCATTGAGAGAGACACGCCCCATGTGGGGCGTGATCAGCTGAAGGAGACACGCCCCATGTGGGGCGTGTGTGTCAGGAGAGACACACGCCCAAGGTAGGGCGTGTTCTCCGCGGTGTATATATATATATGTGTGTGTGTGTGTGTGTGTGTGTGTGTGTGTGTGTGTGTGTGATTTTCACTTTTTTACCTCATTTCCACCCTCTCATCCTCTCTCTAAACCTCCTCCTCCTTCTTCTCTATACATTTCTTTTGGAGGGTTCTGCGCAGCGAAGCTCTGTCTCTCTCTCATGTAAGTCCTTATTTATTGTTTATTTTTGTTATTAACAACAATTAATATATGATAGTTATTAGCGACTTAGATAATTGTTAGGGGGTTAGAAAAATATTTGTGACTTTATTTAATTATAATGTGGTTAGAAAAATATTAGTGACCTATGTAAGAGAATTGTGATGTGACTTATGTATTAGACATGGTCTTAAAAATTAATTAGTTACTTCTAAATTGGTATATGTTGGTTTTATGACTTATTTACACACTTAGAAATTAGTTTGTGACAATAAATATTTTTCTATGAATGACACTTGCAAACATATTGACCTTTCAATTAACCACATTATAATTAGGGCTTGTAAAAAAATAATATCGTATTTAATATTAATTTAAATTGAATTTGAATTATTTAATGTATTGAAATATATTTTTAGAATAATGTAATGTTAAATGAATTAATTGTCAATGATGTTAATTTAATTGAAATTAATATAACAATTGAAGTTAGTTAAATGCTATTTAATTAAGTGCAATTAAATTTTATTTAGTGTAAATTAATATAATATCAATAGTAATTTGGGTACATCTTTTTCATTTGTAGTAGTATTCTATTATGGCTCATTCGTCTTCATCAGAGTCCTCGCGCTTTGGGTCCGATGGTGATCTTGAGCCATCCGATCCTTGTACGCATGTAATTCCTGGACCATATAGGTGGGAGGTACTCCGTAAGAGGACACATCGCAGTCACGTTTCACAAGTTGTGTGGAACGAGGATACGGTCAGGGGGTTAAAGACGAGGCGATGGAAACTTCAGGGGGGACCCCGTCATGATGATATACCAGACGTTGTCGCTGACTATTTGACACAGGCTGGGTTCATACACGTGGGACGTATGAGTCATATTCAGGTATGTAATTTTTAAATTACTTAATTAAATTACCGTATGTGGACTTTGTATAATTGTTGTTTTTTCTTCAGATTGATACCCCCTTGACCTCTGCTTTGGTTGAGCGTTGGAGACCGGAGACACATACGTTTCACATGACGCAGGGAGAGATGACCGTTACATTACAGGACGTGGCTGATATACTTGGTTTGCCTACTGACGGGCAGGCAGTTACCGGATCTACAGCGTTGGATTGGATTGCTATGTGTTAGCAGGTTTTTGGGACTGCCCCTGTTGCGGGCACAGACATTCACGGAGGCGATCTACGTATTTCTTACTTAGACAAGATATATGCTGATTGGTTTACAGTAGCACACAATCCTGAGGAGGTGAGGCGTTACACCAAGGCACACATTTTGCGGCTATTAGGCTCATGGTTAGTGTGTGACAGATCAGGTGGCAGCAAAATTGCTTGTCGTTACGTTCCACTGCTTGCAGGGGACTTTACGGACATTGGCGGATACAGTTGGGGGTCTGCGGTTCTCGTCCATCTCTTTAGACATTTATGTGTGGCAACAAACCCGCGGACTGTTAATCTGGGTGGTTGTCACGTATTAATGCAGATACGGGCTTGGATTAGATTCCCCCCCATTGCACCACCACCTATCCCGCAGCCTACCCACCCGGAGTGGCATTTTGGTCATAGGTATATTTTATTAACTCATATTGACTAATTTATTACATGTTCATTTGCCGAATGAGTATGATAATTTGTTACACATTCTATTACAGGTTTAATTCCCTACCTCCCTTTAAGCCACATGAGCAGTCTTGGTATCGGGCAAACCTTGACACGCTTTATAGAGACGAGGTTTGTGATATCTATTTAGTAATTGTTTTTAATTTATTTACATATTATAGTTGGTGGTAATTGTGTACTTGTTACTAATTTTTTTATATGTAGGTTGTGTGGCAGCCATACGAAGAGTACC